TGTTAAAACACCATTAGAGGAAAGACCATAGGAAATAAACTTATTTCTATGGGAAGGCTAACTGTATGGATTATGGTCGATTCCCAACTAAGAGACAGGAACAGCAGGGGCCCTCCTATCATCTGAAAGCTCCAATGCCAGCATGTTCCTTTCCCTCTTCATTCATTTCTTTCTATTCAAGCTGGCCACTATCATAGGTAATTATCTTGTTGCCTGAGGTTGCTTCATTTCTTTTTCTATTTCTTCTTTCTATTTTGCCTGTAGTGGTACAGACTGCATCGTTAGAACTGATGATATTCTTGGTTGGACTATATTGTACTTCTATTTTTCATCACATTATAAGTAAATCATTAATGTCACACCAGGTCAATGGTGATGCTGAATTGCAATTATTGATAGTTTGCATAGACAGTGCTAATTCTGGCTTCTCAAATATCCTCATCTTGTAATATATTATGGTATTTGTATAATTTTTGAATTACTTTTCTTCCACTGTCAATTTAGTTCCATCACTATCTACGGAAAGTCTCATTTAACAACAGTGTTGGGGAAATGATTTCCTTTGATCAGAATGGAAACCTGGAAGCAGGATTTGATATTATCAACTGGGTCACATTCCCAAATCTAAGTCTACATCGAGTCAAAGTTGGAAAATTTGATCCCAAAGACCAAGAGTTCAATGTTTATGTCAACGCCATTAGATGGCCCAGGAGATTTAACCAGGTATTTCGCATATAGAGTGGGGTCCCTGTCATTGGTTCAGTGTGCAGACAATGAAAATGGCTGTGTGGCCCTGCTAAGGCAATTAGTTGAAGTGATTTCCAAGGTTTGTGTAGTCACCCAGCTCTTATCTGGCCAAAATCCACAGCAGGGTGATTTTTATTATTATTATTATTAACTTTTTTTATTACAAAAAAATGAAAAAAAACACATAAAAGTGCTTTAACATAAAAGTGCAACAACAAAAAGTTAATATATCATTATAATCATTATAATAGCACACAGTTCCAATTTTGTATATGCTTATCTAATTCAGATGTTATTCAAGTACATATATATTTCTAATAGACTTATGGGACTATCCTGTTTTTTTTTAACCCCGTGTATTTGGGTCCTATATTTCATTATATTTGTTCATACAAAGTTTATGTCTATAGGCAATCCACTCATAAGTAGTAAGTGTAATCAGGTCTTGTGTAATGCATTGACTAAATGGGGCCATAGATTTACCTTTTCAAAACTCCAATATCATTCCTTTGGCCATAGTAAAGGCATGGAGAATCCATTTACATTGTCCAGTTGTCAAGTTCCATGTACTAGGTATATAGTTCAAAGGAATATTATCCTCTGAATATTTTAGATTTTGTCACACAATTATATTTATATACTCCAGCACTTTTTCCCAAAACTTGATTGGTATAGAACATTGTAAAAACGTATGTTTTAAAGAAGCATTCTCCTTATTACATCTCCAACAGAATGCTGTTTTTGACAATCCTTTTCTATACAGACATAGTGGAGTCCAATAAATTCTAAATACTATTTTTTGTTGTATAAGTTGTAGTTTGAGATCCATTGACACTCTTGCTATAGAAGTTAAGACACTCTCCCATTGTCTAGGCAATAGAGAAACTGCAAATTCTTTATTCCACTCAACCCTTAGTATCTGAGTATCAAATTGATTTATTGATAACAAATATCTATAGAAACTAATAGGAGGTTTTTTAGTTTTAAAGGATTTAATAAGTTCTTCTAATATCTTCAGTGTCTCATAAGCTGAAAATGCTGCTGATCCAAACAATGTTGTTAACAAATGTTGTAACTATAAATATTGTCATTAGGTGAAATGTAGTAGATGATATTTATCTCCACAGCAGGGTGATTTAAGGTTGTAATTCTTCATACAATTAAGTACAAGACATTACCTTTGCATAATTTTCTTAAAGGTAAATAGTACAAGTTTTTGAGGGGAAAATGTAACTAATTTAAAATGGCAAATGGTAGAAATTGGTGGGATAAAACATCGAACAATCCCATTGCAAAGCCATTGCCCCAAACCTGCAAATATGTGTATTAGACATTTTTTTTGGTCTTCATTTATTAACTTGCAAGATTGGAATAATGGCCTTTGTCTGGGATGGAAAGAATGCATGTATTGATTTTGAGGCACTTGCTCTGTGCACATTACTGTCTCAAACTACTGCATTATTCTGATTGTTTAATTAGTACCAATTTTACATGGCTATCCCAGTATCAACCCAACATGTATGTATTCTGCCTTGTCTCTTTTCTTTGCACCCAGGCACAGCCTCTTTCTTTGTGTAATGAACTCTGCCAAAAAGGTCACAGCAAGACCAAGAAGGAAGGGAAATCATTTTGTTGTTATGATTGCCTTCCATGCCCAAGAGGAAAAGTTTCAGACCAGATGGGTAAGGATCTGATGGACTGAGTTTTAATTTGGAAGTAGGTTGGTGATGTCCATAAATCATCACATCAAGATCAAGTTGAATAGAATTAGGTCTGTTTCTTTGTCTGGATGCCAGGGGCATCTCCAGGATCCAGTGCACTGGCTAGTAGGATATGTGAAGGAGTAAAGTTTCCATTGCAAGAGTACACCATGGCTTTCATAATCTTCTCCTCCCTGTGGATGCATTTGGAGATAGTTGATTGATCCAATTGCTTGTCCAGATCTGGAAGAGAGATCTGAAAACAGGAATCCATGTTTCCATTACTATGGGAAATACCTTGACTTTTTTTTTTTTTTTTTTTTTTTTGTAGAATGTCCTAAAATACACATACAAGTACTCAGATTAAAATGAATGCAAAGCAAGGACTTTCTAGCTATCAAAGGTTGATTTCATATTTACATAGCTTCAGCCTAAGAGTTCAAGAAGGCAAAAATGTGAATTATTGCTTTGTGGCTGTGTTCAGATATGAGTAGTCACTTAGTTAAAAGTTCCTGAATTGACCCATTTTCTAGAAGCCACAATAAGATAAGGTAGCTTGATGGTCTGGGATTATAGAGATTGCCAAACCTCCGAAGTACCAAGCTAACACTGGGGAAATGAGATGATGAGGTGCTAAGCTGGCTAAATGTGTTGTCTGAACTCATCCCTGGAAATGTTCTTCTTGAAATGGGGAGGCCGTTCTTGATGAGCTTCAGGAGAAGAGAACCCTTCAGGGAAGTCAATATTACATAATGAGAAGGAAAACAAAGGCAATCTGAAATTTCAAGATTCTTTTTCAGCCTTGGCGTACTACTTATTCTTGGTTTGAACAGCTTTGCTTCAAACAAGAACTGACCAACTATTCCAACCAGAGTTAAAAAATAGAGTACTGCATTTTACATTTTCCCCCAAAAAAACAAGAATTGGAGGAAAACAGAAGAGGAGGCCACCACAGCAGGTCCCAAGAAACAGAAATGATGGGACATAGAAGTTATAAAGAGGGGACTGTGTTTGTTCATTCACTGATGAGACCTCAAACCCCAACTGTTGGTTAAGAAAGATGCCCTGATTGCTAATATAGGTCAGAATCCTCCCTCTTCCTGCTCACCATACTCCTTTTCACATGTGGGGTGGGAGGATTGCTTTTGTTGTTCTTTGCTCTAGATCATCAAGTAGAAAGGCAGAGGTTATTTGAAGCAAAACACATATCAAAGGGATCTGTTAAGTTGGGGAAAATTGATGGAATTGTGCTTGGAATTCACCTAGGATCAGTGCTTTTACTGAAATGGATTCACATCCATAAGGAATAAATGCTGAACATTTCCCAAATATTTCAAAAGGCCTGAGCAGTGGGAGCTGATAAAGAGACACCAGCCCAGATTCTGCTGTGAGGGACTGGAAACCAGAATCAGCTTCCAATCCCTGTTCACCCATAGGTCTTCATGGTCACTTTGGCCCTGTCACTCTCGCTCCCCAACGTATCTCACATGGTTGTACTTGTAGGGAAAGCCTGACAGCAGAGGGTTATGTGTGTTGCCTAGAGCTTCTGAAGGGAAGATACACTGAATGAAGGGATAACAAACAAATTGATGTTATGCCCTGCATAATACCTCACGAAAACACAATGGCTTGAGAATCATGCAACTGTCTTTGGAGTTCATGTTCTCCACTGCACCATTCTTTCTCTCTTGACTTTACTTGCCAACTTCTAAACAAGTGGCTTCTTTTTTTTCCTTTTCAGACATGGATTCTTGTTACCAGTGTCCGGAAGATCACTATCCCAGCAAAGCCCAGGATCAATGCCTTCCAAAAGGTATCAGCTTCCTGTCTTTCCAAGAGCCTTTGGGGATCACTTTGGTCATTTTTGCCCTTGTATTTTCCTCCCTCACAGCGGTGGTCCTTGCAGTCTTTCTTCAGCACAAGGACACTCCCATAGTCAAGGCCAACAACCGGGGCCTCAGCTACACACTCCTACTCTCCCTTCTGCTTTCCTTTCTCTGCCCTTTGCTTTTCCTTGGTCGGCCTCAGATGGCAACCTGTCTCCTTCGCCAAACCACTTTTGTCATCATCTTCTCTGTGGCTGGTTCTTGTGTGGTGGCCAAAACCCTCACTGTGGTCCTGGCTTTCATGGCCACCAGGCCAGGCTCTCAGATGAGGACCTGGGTGGGGAAAAGGCTGGCCCTCTTTATGGTGCTTTCCTGCTCCCTCATTCAAACCACTCTTTGCACTGTGTGGCTAGTGAGCTCTGCCCCCTTCCCAGATCTTGACATGCACTCTCTGCCTCAAGAAGTAGTCCTGGAGTGCAATGAAGGCTCCCCTGCCATGTTTGCTTGTGTCCTGGGTTTCACTGGCCTCTTGGCCATGATCGGATTTACAGTGGCTTTCCTCGGCAGGAACCTCCCAGATAGTTTCAACGAAGCCAAATTTATCACCCTCAGCTTGCTGCTCTTTAGCAGCGTCTGGATCTCTTTTGTTCCAGCCTACAAGAG